TCCGGCAATCCCTCCGTCTTAGCCTTCCGAGTAGCCGGAATTACAGGCATGCGCTATCATGCCCGGCTGATTTTTTGATTTATCGTAGCGATGAGGTCTCGCCTGCCCAGGCGGGTCTCAAACCCGCGGGCCCAGGCAATCCACTCATTTCAGCCTCCCAAAGGCGCAGGATTACAGGCTGAGCCACCGAGCCCGGCTTCATCTTGTTTTTGTTCCCTGAAGGCCTTCCCACAAGCCCCCACCAAAGAGACAATGTCAACTCATAATTATTGGTCATCAGTTTGTAGAGTTTAACATTTACTTATTATTCTCCCACATAAAATGGGTTTGGGGAAGACTTGGAGTAAAAACAACCAATGGATAAGTGTATTACTAGCCCCCAGTAATCCATTTACTCTCAGCTGAAGAAATAAATCACTTGGTCAAGAATAGACCAACCAATACAATCTACTGATTGACACACATTCCTTGTTGCTGGACAACTGTTTGACACAGCCAGTGGGGGCGTGCCTTTCTAACTAAACATGGAGTGGACTTTTAAATTAAGCCACTGTGATAAATGGTAAAAGGGTATAAACAAACAAATATGTATGGGAAATGGCCAATTATGGTCAGGTGCTGGGATAGCTGGCAAAAGTAAACGAATATCATGGCTTAAGAATTAGAACTCCAGCTGAGTGCGGTGGCTCATGCCTATAATCCCAGCACTTTGGGAGGCCAAGGTAAGAGGATTGCCTTAGCCCACAGGTTTGAGACCAGCCTGGGCAACTTGGTAAGACTTCATCTCTACAATAAATTAAAAAATTAGCCAGGCGTTGTGGCACATGCTACTTGGAAGGCTGAGACAGAAGGATTACCTGAGCCCCAGCAGGTCAAGGCTGCAGTGGCTGTGAGCATGCCGCTGCTCTCTAGCCTGGGCAACAGAGTGAGACTCCAATGCAAAAAAAAAAGAATGAGAACTCTAAAGAGAAGTTTTAATTGCTCAAAACTTTAGTAATCTTACTAAATCTAAGGACTGTGAATTTAAAAATAGTAGTAATATTTTAAACACACACAATATAGAAGATAATACATACTTTTAGAGTTTTAGTTTTGCGTTCCATTGCCAATATTCAGAACATAGTTACTGATAATTACCGAAAATTTGCTGTCTTATTAGAAAACTTTTTTCTTTTTCTTTTTGAGTTGGAGTCTCACTCTGTTGCCCAGGCTGGAGTGCACTGGCAAGCTCACAGCCACTGTAGCCCCGACCTGCTGGGCTCAGGCGATGCTTCCGCCTCAGCCTTCCATGTAGCTGGAACTACAGGAGTGCACCACCCTGCCTAGCTAATCTTTTGATTTACTGTAGAGATAAGGTCTTACCAAGTCGCCCAGTCTGGTCTTGAACCCCTGGGCTCAGGCAATCCTCTGTCCTCTGCCCCCCAAAGTGCTGGGATTACAAGCGTGAGCCACCCTGGTTGAAAGCTTTTTTCTTTATTAAAATTTTTTTTAAGTTTTCTGAATTAATTTTTCTAGTAAACAGAGGCTCAGTCCCTCAACCCCATATTCCATCATACATAGTGGAATTCTTTAATATCATAATCATGAGGAAAGTCAAAATCATAAAGTCACAGAAGTAAGTTAGAAAGTAGATCACCTTTTTAGTAAAATCTTTGATTTTCCTGATGAGAAAGCTGGGGCTCAGGAGAAGACAGATGTATCACTTATCACTGTAAATCTTGCCTTTAGTCAATCATCTGGAATGTTTGTTAAAAGTATATGTATTCTCAAAAATATAGCCTATTCGATTTTTTTTTAATAGATATGAGGTCTCACTATGTTGCCCCGGCTGATCTTGAACTCCTGGCCTCAAGTGATCCTCACACTTCAGCCTCCCAAGGTGGGCTGGGATTACAAGCATCAGCCACTGTGCCTGGCCTAAATTTTTTTTTTTTTTAAGTTGGAGTCTCACTCTGTCGCCCAGACTGGAGTGCAGTAGCCACTCCTGGCCACCGCAGCCTCACCTGCTGGGTTCCGGCAATCCTTCCACCTCAGTCTTCCGAGTAGCTGGAACTACAGGCGCGCACTACCATGCCCAGCTAATTTTTGATTTATTGTAGAGATAAGGTCTCGCCAAGTTGCCCAGGAGGGTCTTGGACCCACGGGCTCAGCCAATCCACTCACCTCAGCCTCCCAAAGGCGCGGATTACAGGCTGAGCCACTGAGCCCGGCTGGCCTAATTTTTTTAGAAGTATGTTTCTGGGCTATAATTCAAAATTATGGAGCCAGGATCTCCAGAATTTCAGAGGACTCATAGTATATCAAAAGGAAACAATTAAATAAAACACAAACTTAATTTTTCTAGAATTCAACTATTCTGTTAAATGTAGGATGCACACGTTATACTATCTTTCCTTCCTTTAAGTGTATGTACTACTTATTATAGTCTAATAGCTTCCCAGTTTGCCAATAGTCAGATTTTAATCCCCCTTAAAATATTCTTACTAAGTTTTAATTTATGTGAAGCATTTCCTATACTAAGGCTTATGCTCTAAAATGAAAAACCAGTGATAGAAAAGTAGTTACTTCTGCCGCATACAGGACAATCCATCAGTTTGGAGAGTTTTTCAAAAAATACACAAAGAAAAACTTACGTGCTTATGCTCCTTTCCCTTCTCCCTTCCCTTCCTTCCTTCCCCTTTCCTTCTCTCCCTCCTTCTTTCTCTTCCCTCTCTCCCTCTCTCCCCTCCTCCTTCCCCTCCCCTGTGTGTGTCTCTCTCTCTGAGACAGGGTCTCACTCTATCGCCCTGGCTGGAGTGCAGTGGCACAATCCCAGCTCACCACAGCCTCAACCTCCTGGGCTCAGGAGATCCTCCCACCCCAGCCTTCTTTTTTTTAGCTGGAATATAGGTACATGCCACCACACCCAGCTGATTTTTGTCTTTTTTGTAGAGACAAGGTCTCATTATGCTGCCCAGGCTGGTCTCAAACTCCTGGGCTCAAGTGATTCTCTTGCCTGGGCCTCCCAAAGTGCTGGGATTTCAGGGTGAACTTCTGCACCCAGTTCTTTTTTCTTTTTTTAAATTCAGGGTCTCATTCCGTTGCCCTGGTTGGGGTGCAGTGGCATAATCATGATGCTCGTGGCTCATGGCAGCCTCAACATCCTGGGTTCAGACAATCTGTCCACTCAGCCTTCCAAGTAGCTGGGGCTACAGGCACGTGCCACCATGCCAGCTAATTTTTTGATTTTTTTCTAGAGACAAACTTTCACTATGCTATCCAGGCTGGGTTCGGACCCCCAGGCTCAAGCAATCCACCCGCCTTGGCCTTCCAAAGTGCTGGGATTACAGGAGTAAGCCACCATGCCCGGCCCTTCTTAGATGTGGTTCTATAAAACCCATCATCCTAACAAATTACACCCAAGTAAAATACTGTAATGAGACAGGTGAAAGTAAATGTACAAGGAAGTTAATGCTTACTAAGTTTTGAAGACAGACATCTAGAATTCATCTAGAATTCAGCTACTAAAATAAGAGGTTTATTTAACAAACTCTTTTATAGTGCCATGCACTATTTATAAATATTAACTCAGTTAACTCAGTTCATCCCCATAACCTCATGAGGTATTATTATTACCTTATTTTACAGATGAGAAAACTGAGGCTAAAAAGATCGGGTACTTGGTAGTATCAGAATTCAAACCATGGCAATTCTGCCTCCCAAGTCCATGTTCTTAACACTATTATTAACCAGGAAATGCTCACTGGAACATTTTGGATTTCAGATTTTTTTGGATTAGGGAACCTCAATTGCTAAGTATAATGCAAATATTCCAAAATCCAAAAAAAATTCCAAATCTGTAACACTTCTGGTCCCAAGGATTTTGAAAAAGGAATACTCAATCTGTATTAGCTTTTTGGCTTTTTTTTTTTTTTTAACTTGAAGTCCAAAACTATCAAAGGAAGCATCTACATTCTAGAAAGCAGATTTACCTGAAATAATCCCTAATAGCCACTTTATAACTAGGCACTCCACTGATGCAATCTGGGTAGTCAACTACATTCAGAAGCTGGATAAAACTACTTTTTCTGTGACAAACACTACTTTTCACCACCAGTAATCTACCCGAACCCTAGATCAGTCCTATCATTTTCTCCTGAAAAATAAGCTAAGATCATTTTTGCCAAATGGTCAATTCTTGCTCTCTAGATCCAAATACTAAGCTTTCTGGCTTTTGTTTCTTTACAGAGTCAACCAGAAGATCCATTTCATCTACTGTAATTTAAAAAAATTCAATACAGTCAACAGCTTCTAACTGGAATATTCTTATTTAGGTACTGAAAGAAAATAATTCAGCATGCCCACATTACATTTGATCATATACTAATTCTGTTTTCTAATAGAATAAGTCTAAAGGATGCCTCACACAATACACTCTCACATCTATACTCCAGTGGTGTAAGCATAAACTATATTTTATTCCTTCTAGAATCTAGAGTATTGTTTTCAAGAAAGAAAATTCATTTTAGCATTTACCTTAAACAATATGCAGTTATTACTAAGGAGTTTCAAAGCTGTGAAAATCGGACACAGAATTCCTAACATCCATCAACAAGTTCACACTTTACTTTATTTGATAACTATTTGAGTTTTCATTTTGGGGCTTGCTATGTATAGCACAATTAGAAAATGCTTTTCTGCCACAGGAAAACAAAGGCAATTATCTGTGGCACTGTCTTCATTACTCCAATTACTGCTAAGCCAATGAGTAATTCTTCAAGGCCAACAGAGTACAGCAAAATAAAAGTTAGATATTTGGTAAAAAGCTGAGAAAAGTAACAGCAACCTCATTAAGAAAAATTTTAAGGCTGAAATCTTCACATAAGATAGAATATTTATACTTAGAAACCTGTCAACTTTGGGGAAATAGAATGCTTGTATTTGGCGGAAGAAAAGGTGGGTGCTGGAAAAAAAATCCAGTAAGAAACATGGAAAAGCTGGGCTCGGTGGCTCAGCCTGTAATCCTGTGCCTTTGGGAAGCTGAGGTGAGTGGATTGCCTGAGGCTGCGGGTTCGAGACCCGCCTGGGCAACTTGGCAAGACTTCATCTCTACAATAAATCAAAAAAAAAATTAGCTGGGCGTGGTAGTGCGCGACTGTAGTTCCCTACTCGGAAGGCTGAGGTGGAAGGATCGCCGGAGCCCAGCAGGTCAAGGCTGCGGTGGCCGGGAGCGGCCACTGCACTCCAGTCTGGGCGACAGAGTGAGACTCCAACTCAAAAAAGAAACATGGAAAAGGGACATGAGAAAGGGGACTGATTTATCTCAGTGAAGCTAAATTTGTACACAGCAGAAGACCTGTGGATAGGAAAATAGCGGAGGCTTCCCAGCAGCTCTTGCTTCCAGAGCATCTTGGTGCTAGCAAAGACAGTAAACCCAGCTCCTCTCTCCAATGAAATCAGTGAGGGCTCCCTGCCCATCTTCCTTGTTCCGAACTGCATATCTCTCCTGTGCTTCCCAGTGTATGGCCTTGAGCTCAAACAAGTAGCAAGTCAGAAAGTGCTCAAAGTAACACACTTGGGTATACCAGCAGATAATAAATCATCACATGGAGGGAAAATTTCTAATTTCTTAAAAAGCATTTTTGCCTAGAAATAAAAGATCAACAAATGACCAGCCTGAGAAAGTGGTACATTTTTTGTTCTGAAAGGATCAGTTGTATTTACAGATAGTTTTCCTCCTGTATTACAAAAAAAAGTGACTGAAATAAAGAATGACTTATTTTTCTAGTGCAAACATAGAAAAGGGTTAACTTCTTTTTTTTTTTTTAAGGGAATAGTCGCCGGGCTTGGTGGCTCAGCCTGCAATCCCGCGCCTTTGGGAGGCTGAGGTGAGTGGATTGCCTGAGCCTGCGGGTTCGAGACCTGCCTGGGCAGCGAGACCTCATCTCTACAATAAATCAAAAAATCAGCCGGGCATGGTAGCGCACACCTGTAATTTCGGCTACTCGGAAGGCTGAGGCGGAAGGATCACTGGACCCCAGCAGGTTGAGGCTGCGGTGGCTGGGAGCGGCCATTGCACTCCAGTCTGGGCGACAGAGTGAGACTCCAACTCAAAAAAAACCCAAAAAAGCATAGTCATCCCTGACTTGAGAAGAAATCAAACTTCTTTAATTGTGGTTTTGGACTAATTCCATCACATCTACTTTTTGCTACTATGAGGGCTGGGAGGAAGGAAAAGATACCCAATATAAGGTACTATGAAAGAGTACTCAACAGCCTTGTCGACCATGAACAAATTAAATAATTTGCTTGGGTAGTTAATAAATTCAGTTTCATAATGTAGACTGCAGCCTCTCCTAACAGTGGGTAAAGCAAACTCGCTGTTTCCTCTTTCCAATGCACACAGAACAATAGGAATTATGTTTAGTTATGCTAGGATTGGATTCCTCTGTGGATCCCAGTCTTTAAGTATTTCTTCTAAGGTGAACTTAGTTGGCTCCTACTTTTATCTCTAAGTGTGCCTGACACCCTCTACCTTCTGTCACATAAGATCTGTATCGACTCATTTCCTAAAAATTTGCTTTAACATAGTTACTAATGAAATGTCAGATCAATGTCACTTATTCTTGCCATTTTTACCAGCAAATAATAAGCCATATCTGAACAATATGAGGTGAATGGCCTCACCAGAGGTAGGGTTTCTGAAAGACTTTAAGGATTGAGAAGTATAACCCTAAATTCTAGAATGCTTTTTAACTCAAGTCCCCAAATAAACCAAACTGGTATTCCAGGCTCAAGCGCTCAGATATTGTTTATGTCAGTTATTTTCAACTGTAAAGCCAAAGTAACACATCATGTATAGGAAACAAAACTGTTTAATGAAGGAATAATGGAACATTCCAATTAAAATTTGATTTGAATTACAAGTTGGTGATGGGAGATGATTTTTACCGTGCAAAGAATGACAACTTCTTTTTTTGCCCCTGCTTTTCCTCCAGTGAAGCTTCTGAGAAGGTATATCCTGAAAATAATGACACACGTTGCTAAGGAAAGAAACTTTAAAAATATTAAGCTTAATAAAGGTATTTCCCATGTAGTATGGGCATACAAACAATTCCATAACAAATAGCATAGATTATTCATTAAAAATAAAAGTAAATAAATCTTTAAGGACAAGAGGTTATGTTCTAGTGAGTCCTTAAAAATTAAATTTCTACTAATAAAATAATGTGCGTTATATACGAGGATACGCTCAACAGCTTGCTTTTCATACCAACAGAGTATACACTATACGCTGTGCACATATGCAGATTCCTCGAAGTCTGGGGGATCCCAAAAGATGCCATCAATATAGAGAATAGTTCTATGAGCGTAAGTTTAGAAGTCTTAATGAAGGGAAGATTTTTCAGTCATAATAAAAACCAAAATGTTTACTAAGTATATCCTACTAATTTTTACCCCTTTTCACTTCCTTGAGGATTGCGACTTAAACAGTACTGAAAATAGTTTTGAAAATTAAAAAAAAATAATCTTGAAAAAGTCGTATTTTGACAACAAGAAGCTTGGTCAATTTTTTTTTGAGTTGGAGTCTCACTCTGTCGCCCAGACTGGAGTGCAGTGGCCACTCCCGGCCACTGCTACCTCGACCCACTGGGCTCTGGCCTTCCGAGTAGCTGGAATTACAGGCGCGCGCTACCACGCCCGGCTAATTTTTTAATTTTATTCTAGAGATGAGGTCTCGCCTGCCCAGGTGGGTCTCGAACCCGCGGGCTCAGGCAATTCACTCATCTCAGCCTCCCAAAGGCGCAGGATTACAGGCTGAGCCACCGAGCCCGGCTAGCTTGGCCAATTTTATGATTAGAATATCCACAGTGATGCCCTCACATTGTGAACATGGAATCCAAAAACCTATTAATAACAAAACCAAGGACAGAAGTATAAGAAAAATACTAAATAGATCTGTTTTACAACTATCTTGGAATTAACTAAATGGAAAATAAATAAGAATAAAATGTTCTGCAACATAAAGAAATCATTTAATTTGTTTACTCATTACAAGATTAATTACTTTCTAGTTCATGTTCAAGTGCACAATATTTTAAACAGATAAAAAATCCAACACACACCTATCATAGTTCTATTTAAAACCTAGTTATCAGAATATACAATAAAGAAGGATTTAGGAATAATCTTGCTTTGAACATTCAGTTTATCTTTTATTTATTTATTTATTTATTTTTGAGGAGATGTTGAGTAGTTGGTTGGATATGAGTTAGACTAGGAGAGAGGTACAGGCTGGAAGTACTGTCAACCTCAAATAAGAGAAATTCAGAAAATATGGTTTAGAGTTTATTTGAGCCCAAAGCTTGAGAATGACCACCCTAGAGTATAGATTCAAACTGTCCTGAATATACACTTCATTAGCGGTAGTTACAAGTGGGTTTTTAAGGAAAAAAGAAGAGAGAGTTCCTAAGTTGTTTTGTTTTTATTTAAAAAATAGAGACTGGGCCTCACTATGTTGCCCAGGCTGATCTTCAACCAATTTCTCTTTTTTAATTTTGTCATTCAACAGCTATTAAATTTAAGTTGACTAAATGCTAGACTCTTGACTTTCCTACTTAAAATGGTAACGATTGGAGGCCCAAAGAGGTTGTGGCATTTTCTTTTAAAAAACAAGAGGGCAGGCTACTAGATTTTAGGGCCTTCTAACTCACAGTTTTATGAACTTGTACCATTTTCCTTTTTTACTGTGGGTAGAGAAATATTTTGCCTCAGGAAATCAGAGACCTGTGCTTCTGAATATTTTTTTTGGTACTCTTACTTCAATGAAACAATGAATAGCAACTCACAGAATAGGATTGGGAAAGGAATAAATCAGAAGTTCAAGAAACTACAAAGATACTCTACCTATAAAAAAAATTCAGAACAACATGGGAAAAGATTAGCTATGGGTAAGTATGTCTGGAATAGCTCTAGCAATCTCACTGGCTAAACCAAACGTGGTTCTTAATAAAGAGTATTGTGCATCTAAAACAATGATACTGATTATTTGTACCCATAAAATACACTTGATATGCACACAAGTTTGGCAATATTCTAATATATTGGAACCTTTTGAAAGTAGTGTGCCTGTGTGCCACTGCACTCCAGTCTGGGTGACAGAGTGAGACTCTGACTCAAAATAAAAAGAAGATGAAAGTAGTGTGCTTGATTTAAGATTGGAAACTTAAGGAACACATGTAAAATTTCACTGAATCAAAGAATAGAAAATGTAGATTGTCAAATACAAACTTTAAAAGGATTTGGTGTGACTGAGCTTGAAATAAACAAGGAGGCTGGGCACTGTGGTTCACACCTATAATCCCAGCACTTTGGGAGGCTGAGGCGAGAGGACTGCCTGAGCCTGGGGGTTCGAGGCCAACCTGGGCAACTTGGTGAGACCTGTCTCTACAAAAAAAGGAAAAAATAAGACAGGCGTGGTAGCGCGCAACTGTAGTACCAGCTACTAGGAAGGTTGAGGTGGAAGGATCACCTGAGCCCAGCAGGTTGAGGCTGCAGCAGCTGTGAGCATGCCACTGCACTCCAGCCTGGGCAACAGAGTGAGACTCCAACTCAAAAAACAAGCAAAAAAAGGAACCTAACAAAAACCTGCTCTTAAAGGGCAGTACCATCCCTTCTCTCCCAATAAGTTCAATCCCCACCGCATCACTGCTTCTCTTAGAGAAAAGAAGTACACTTGGCATCTTTGCCACCGTCTGCTGCAAAGCAAAGCCTTTTTACTTCTAGCCTGGAGATCTATAAACTGGAATGGTAAGATCTTTAGCTTTCACAAAATGCTAGGTCTAATAAGCACGTGCTCCAACTTAAGTTCCTATTCACAGAAAAAAAAATTTGTTCAACTGCTATATGAACTGAATTAAAGAAATGTTTGCATTACTTTGGAAGTATCTAATTCAAGTTAAGACATGGGTGTTAACCATCTGCAGAACATTCATGGGACGGAAGTTCTTTGCCTATTTTTTTTGGCTTATGAGCTTTTTAAAATCGACTAAGGAGAAACCCATCCCTAGAAAGTGGAGATGTTCCCACAATCCTTCCTTCCAGTCACACTGACCTCTTTACTGTTGCTCAGACTAGCCCAGTACACTCTGGCATTGGGGCCTTTGTTTGTACAGGTTGTTCCTTTTGCCTGGAACGTTCCCTACGTTTCTGCACAAGTTTCCACGCATTTGCTCAAATCATACCTTCTCTATGATGCTACCCTAACCATCCTATTTAAAACTGCACCCCCAAATTAACTGATCTCCTTTTTCTTTCATTGCATGTATCATCTTTTAATATGCCACTTATATTTATTAGTATAATAAATGTACTAATTATATTTATTATTTGTAGCTGTCTCCTCTACTGGAATGTAATTTCCCTGAAGACAGGGATCTTTTGTCTGTTTAGTTCACAGATGTATCCCAAGACTGCAGAACATGGTAGGAATTCAGATATTTATTTACTATTAACTCAAAAGAAAGAACACCCCCGGGTTCGAGACCCGCCTGGGCAGCGAGTCCTCATCTCTACAATAAATCAAAAAATCAGCCGGGCGTGGTAGCGCATGCCTATAATTCCGGCTACTTGGAAGGCTGAGGTAGAAGGATCGCTGGAGCCCAGCAGGTAGAGGCTGCGGTGGCCGGGAGCGGCCACTGCACTCCAGTCTGGGCGACAGAGTGAGACTCCAACTCAAAAAAAAAGAGAAAGAAAGAACACCCCATTACTGCTTTTTATACTGTAAGGACCATAAAAAACAATTTGTTTTTAAATTGAACAAATGGGAGAATTGTATACATAGGTAAACCAACATTCAAACTATCATTTTTCAGATATGCCAATGGTCATAACAGTGAGTGAAGGTAATTGACTCTAGCAGGCCAAAGGGCTTCAGATATAAGGTTTCAAGACCATTGTCTGGCTCTAAAACGTTCTATATATAAACTACTTTTTTTTTTTTTTTTTTTGAGTTGGAGTCTCACTCAGTCACCCAGGCTGGAGTGTGCAGTGGCACACTCACAGCCACCCCAGCATCGACCTGCAGGGTTCTGGTGATACTCTGCCTCAGTCTTCCAAGTTGCCAGAACTATAGGTGCACTCTCTACCATGCCTGGCTAGTTTTTTATTTATTGTAGAGATGGGATGCCTCCAAGTTGCCCGGGCTGGTCTTGAAACCCCGGGCTCAGGCAATCCACTCACTTCGGCCTCCCAAAGTGCTGGGATTACAGGCTGAGCCACCAAGCCCAGTCACCACTTTATTTGTATAACTCATGTTTGTTTATTTCTTAAGTTGTAAATTGATTGTCAAAAGTAGATTTTTAAGGGGAGAATTTCTTGATAAATAACTCAGGGACATCAATATTTAAGGCTAAGGAATCAGTTTCTCTCATTTTACATGTTAAATCTATCTGAAGTACTTTATAATCAGAGAAAAAGAAAAGCTTATGTAGCAGCAAAAGAGATTTCAAAACACAAACTAAGTCATGGTTTAAAGCCATGTCATGATTTAAAACCATTCCATGGTTTCTCACTGTGTTTAATAAATTAAACTCATCATGGCTTCAAGACCCAGCATGATCCAGTGTCCGCCGTCCACAAAACATCCATCTCTAGAGCCATACAGGGCTCTTCAGTTGCCTGAACACACCCTACACGTTCCTGGCTCCCAGCCTTTGCTCAGAGTGATATTCTGCAAGTACCTCCCCCACACTTCCATCCTTGAAGTCTCAGTTTAAATGCTACCGTCTGTAGTCTGGTTTTTCTGCCCCCTTCATTCCAAGTGCCTCATTTATACTTCAGCTCCTTATTTGCATCTCTTAACACTTGGAATTATTGGCCTTTCCCACAAGAATAAAAGCTCTTCTAGGACAAGAACAGTGTCTGTCTTACATATCCTCCTATCCCTAGTCCCTAGCATAGTTCCTGTTACACAGTGTTCATATGGTGAAGGAGTTCAAATATTTGCTGACTGAATGAGTG